AGAACAAAGAATCCAATCAAGAAATGGGCAGAAGACATGGACAGACATTTTTCCAAAGAAGACATCCAAATGGCCAACAGACACATCAAAAAGTGCTCAAAATCACTCGGCATCAGGGAAATCCAAATCAAAGCCTCAACGAGATACCACCTCACACCAGTCAGAATGGCTAAAATTAACAAGTCAGGAAATGACAGATGTTGGTGAGGATGCGGAGAAAGGGGAGCCCTCCTACACTGTTGGTGGGAATGCAAGCTGGTGCAGCCACTCTGGAAAACCAGAGGTTCCTCAACAAGTTGAAAATAGAGCTACCCTATGACTCAGCAATTGCACTACTGGGTATTTACCCCAAAGATACAAATGTAGTGATCCAAAGGGGTATGTGCACCCCAATGTTTATAGCAGCAATGTCCCCAGTAGCCAAACTATGGAAAGAACCAAGATGTCCATCAACAGATGAATGCATAAAGAAGATGTACACACACACACACACACACACACACTGGAATATTATGCAGCCATCAAAAAAACGAAATCTTGCCATTTTCAGTGATGTGGATGGAACTAGGGGGTCATGTTAAGCGAAGTAAGTCAATCAGAGAAAGTCAAGTATCATATGATCTCACTGATATGAAGAATTCTTAATCTCAGGAAACAAACTGTGTGTTGTTGGAGTGGGGGGTGGGGTGGGAGGGATGGGGTGACTGGGTGATAGACACTGGGGAGGGTATGTGCTATGGTGAGCGCTGTGAACTGTGTTAAGACTGATGAATCACAGACCTGTACCTCTGAAAGAAATAATACATTGTATGTTTAAAAAAAAAAAAAGATAGTAGGAAGGGAAAAATGAAGGCGGGGGAATCGGGGGGGGGACACGAACCATGAGAGACTATGGACTCTGAGAAACAAAGATACTTCGTGTCTTCCTCAATTTCTTTCATGAGTATTTTATGAGGGTTTTAGAGGGGAGGGGGTTGGGGGGTGGGTTAGCCAGGTGATGGGTATTAAGTAGGGCACATATTGAATGGAGCACTGGGTGTTATATGCAAACAATGAATCATGGAACACTACATAAAAAACTAATGATATAATGTATGGTGACTAACATAAGATAATAAAATAAAATTAAAAAAAGAACTGTTAAGTATCTACCAGGCAGGGTAGGCAGAGAAGGCATCTGGGCAGAGCAAACAGAAGTCAGGGACGAGCACATTTGCTATGAAAAATGCTTAGTGTGTTAGTGAGTGTGACAGGCACAGAGGACTTTACAATGAGGGGTGGTGAAGAAGGGCCAAGTTGTCACTGTGGGGCAGTGTTATTGGGAACATCTCATACAGAGCGAGACATTCTGTCAGGACAAGGCTCTGTGAGTTGTGAAAATGTTGATATAGTTCCAAACTGGTTGATAAACAGCCACTGATCTGAGACCCTCTCCCCTCTACGGTCCTGTTGTACCTCCCAGAAGTCCTCACACCCAGTGATTTCAGCAGTTAAAGAGTTGGCAACTTGCAGGAGGCCTCTAGGCCCCCTCCAGCACTGAGGTCAGTCAGGCAATGCTGATTGTACATTTTTGAGCATCTCTCCTCTTGTATGCCATGGTAGAGAATGTGAACTTTATCATATAATGTAGGGCTTGGAAATTCAGATGCTTCCAGGGGTCAGGCAGGCTACACAGAAATGAATGAAGCAAGTGGGTACATATAACAGAGAGAGGTGAGGACTGTAGTCAACTGGAGGCATCAAAATTAATTTTTTAAAAACTGTGTCAGTAAATGTAAGTGAATGGTGATTTTGACAGATAGACTGCCAGTGCTCAAATTCTGCAGTATAAGTAATAGGAAAACCATAGTGCGGGTTCTTTTTTGATTTTCTTTTTAAACTAGGGGAGTGATATAAGCTTCATTTTTTTCGAAAAATTGCCATAGGCTTTGATGGACAGAGATTACAGAAGAAAGAGATATGAGACCAAGAACATGAGCTGTTACTAGTTCAAAGTTTGGATAAGAAAAAGCTGGCTTAAATTAAAGGGTCTTAGATTGAATATGGAAACAAAGTTTTCTCTGTGTAATAAAACAATAGAAAGGATTATTAAGGAAGATATTTCTGACAGATATTTTAAGACAGATATTTCTGTCTTAAAAAGTTTCAAGTACCAAAAGGACAGTGGTAGAAGCTAAACCCAATGATTTCTCAGGGAACTTTCTAGGTCCACGATCCTCTGAAGCACAATTTAGTCACAGTATTTGTGGAGAAACAAACAAAAAATCTGTGGGTGGTGAAATGGAGTGGAAGAAATGCTGAGAGAACCCTTTAATACTACCAAGCAGGGGATTTATATAGTAATGTTAAGGTGTTTTTAACAATTCTGAGGTCTATTCATAAATTTAGCAAATTTGAGTATATATTATATGCTAGACACTATTCTATGCACAATATTAAATAGCACTCATTACTTCATTTATTGAGAATTGACTACATACTTAGCACACTTCTAGGCACTGTGGATAAACTAGAGAATAAAACATGCAATCCCTGCCTTCCAGAAATGTCTATTCTAGGGGAGGAGACAGGCAATAAACCTACTAGAAGATCAGGTTATGGTGAGCAAACCTAGAAGGATGGATTGAGGCTGGGGAAGGCTTGAGATGGGAACCAGCTAGGTATGTAATTTCTGGGGAAATTAGAGTGCCGGAAAGGTGATCACTGTACAAAACACAACAGAAGAGACTGCATAGACCTAAAAGTAGCAGAACTTGGAATGGAAGGAATAGAAGGGGGCAAGGTTGAAGAGAAAAAATCACAATTGTGAGTGTGGAGTGTTGAACACTTGTAGTAATAAAAGTGATGTGATGAATTTGAGATTTTGGTGAGACACCCAAGTGTAGCTCTTTCCTTAGATCAGCATTTCTCAAATTTTGGTGTGTCAGAATCATCTGAGGAACTTGACAAAAATAAAAAGATATAGGGCCTATTCCTTCAACCCACCTGAACCTCTGTTTTTTTATTAGCTTACCAGGTGATTCTCATACAAATTCTGTGAACCACTAGCTTAGATAACCAGAGATCTAAGCCGGTATAAAGGGATTGAACTATGGGCTGGAGATATATATTTTGGAGTTAAAAAAAAGTGTTGAGACTTATGGATGGGTCAGCTCTCCCAGCTGATGAGTATTAAGGGGCAGGAGGAGTAACCATAGGACAATGCGTGGTTGCATGTATGTAGTTGATGGGAAGACAAGGAAGAGCCTGAAAGACAAACACATGAATTATTTAGCATAAAGGGAAAATGCAGAAAGCTCAGTTTCCCTTTAATTGGAATATGGGCACCGTGGGGACAGACCTCAGGGTTACCTCACACTTGGCATTGTGCCCAGCACTTAATAGGTACTTATCAATATTTGTTTATTGATGAATCAATGTATATATGAATGGCTATTACAAAAGCCCCCCCCCCCCCCAGAAAGCTAAGAAGACATTTTCAGGAAAATGTAGGCAATCCTATCAATTGCAGTAGCTGGAGGACAAGAAGGCTAAAACATATAGGAGTGTTGGTAGACTGACTCAGAAGGAAGCTATTGCAATAAAGGGATGGGGTAATTAAGTGCAAGCAGTGAATTTAGGCTCTGTGGTCATTTATAGCATTTATCCTGAGCTGTTGATGAGCATTGTAAGGGCAATAAGATATATATTATATATATATATATATATACACACACACACACACACACAATACACATACACATGCAAATGTATATATGTGTAATGTTTGTATACATGTATATGTATAAAAGTACAGATGTTCAGCTCTAGAATCTTTGTGCCCTGTTGCTCTGTCAATGTCCTATAGCTGCCTCCTTCAGGTTGTGAATCTTGGGGGCAGGAGGGTCTCTCAGGAGTCTTCTGGGTTGTGGAGGGTTGTCTTCGGGAAGTTAGAACACAAATAAAGGCAACAAGATGCTAGATTCAATTCTCCAGTAAGCTGCATACTCCACTTGCCGCTCTGTTTTTCAGTGGTTCTTTGGTCCCCAAGAATAGATATGATTTGTAGAAATTGCATAAAAATATAAAATCTTACTTTAAGATCTGTTAAAAGCTTTTTAATTCCAGGCACACATTTCCTTTGAAAGGATAAATCTTTTGTGTCATGAAGCAGAGATGGTTATTAGCCTGCTCGCTGGGATCTGCAGGTTTGTAGATGAAGCATCCAACCTTTCTTGTATTTTGAAATGTCATATCCAACTGCTTCTTAATGAAGATTCATTTATCCTTTTCACACTGTTAAGTATGGTCTATGGGGATAGACTTCTCTCAGTCCACATGAATAGAGCCCATTACTGCCGATGGAAGTTTTGCACATGCCTGAGCAGGTGAATAGGCATTGAAGTAATCTACATTTAGACTTTCACAGTAATTTTTATTTAGCTACTTTCAGATTTCAATGATGATCTCTTTTTGTCCCTGAATGTTGTTTGACATTGATTATAGGTATCTGATAATGGATCTGAGTTGTTACTGAGTTGTTACTGTAATAGGTGTAAGTATTTCTTTCCTCTGTTTCAGCTGAGAAGTTTTGAGAGCGAACTATTCACAGCCATTAAGGGACCTCCAATTTAATTTGTCATCATGCTTATTCTGTAGTTCACATTAAGTCCAGAGTACTGAAGCTGCTGAACAAGTGGACTTGTAGACATCAGATAGCTGGCTATGGTTTTGGCCATGGCATTTCAGGATGCTCAGAACTTCTTCCAGCCTCTCTCTTCCTGGATATCTCGGGTTTATGAAGCTCTCCAGCAAGCAGGAGATACGCTATCTGCTTCGCTGGTTAACTTAAGCAAACAAGACTCTAAATTGAGTGAAAAGCTAGACCAGGACTTAGATGATATTCAGATTCAGGAAACTTACTTTGAAGATGAAGAACAAGGCAATGATTGGCGTCAAGAGGATGCAAATCCCTTGTTTCTTGAAGTGGATCATTTCTCCTGTTGTAATAGGGATTTGCAGGACTCTGCCCAAAGTTCGAGCCCCAGACTTAGCCAACATGCAAAGGACTCATGTTCCATAATGTCCCAGTGGCCCAATCAGACCCTTGATGACCAAAAGCCACCACATGTGCTTTCTTCTATTGCTGAGGAAGAACACCACCTTGAAAAGCAAAGGACTGACCTTCAACACAGCCAGCTCTCTGGTATTTTAGAAAATGTTAATGGAAAAAAGCAAGGTAAGGTAGCCAGTGATCATTTTCTCTGGGTTCTTCCAGGGACATATCTCCTAATTATATTTTTTTTACTTTAGTTATCATATGAAGTTTATTTTTTCCTCTCCTATACCTTTCCACATGCTGGCTTCTTATTGAGAGATGTACTCAGGAATATTTTCAACATATAAAACTTTGGGAGATCTGTATTTGTGGCCTCCATATTTCAGAACAATTGTTCAGAGCAAGTAAAATGGTGAAAACACGTCTGTAGGTTCTGTTTGAGAAGCCCTTGTGCATATGTCATGCTTTTTAAAATATCTTTTAAAATGTTTTCTTTTTTTTCACTAGGTTAGGAATCTCTAGATGTTACTATATTATTCAGTGTGAAATCCTGTGCAAAAAGCCATACTTGTTGCAAAATTTTTAGTTGATAACACTCCAAGAACACTTTTCACAGTGTTTCACTGAGACGTGATATGAGATGACAGTAGATAGGAAATCTTTGAAATAAGAATAGCTTGATTTTCTTTAAGCCTTGAGTGGAAAGGACACATTTAAAACAAACTGTCTTTAGAGCTTTATCCTGTCAGATACCTTGAATATAGTGAAATGTAATTAACTCTGTAATAGCTGTATTATGTCTTGGCATGAATTTTTCAGGATTCTAATGCTCAAGCCTGAACTAAGGACATTCCACTTGGTTGAGGGGACAGAGGTGGCTGATAGGCCAAGAAAGGTGTTGGGTGTGTATATGTGACATGTGGCTGTAATGCATCTCTCACCAAGATTATTGGATCTTTTATGTGACATAAAGTTGAAGTCATTAATTCTTTTCTTTTTGGAGGGAGCAGAATTTTCTAGAATACTTCACAGCATCTTCATCCATTTTCAGTAATTCCTCTTAGCTTTATCTTTTTAGGGAAACATTTTATCCAGATACATGAAGCCTTAGAAAATGAGGAAGCATGATTTCATTTTCTTTTTATAGTACTTTTTTGATACTCTTATTTAATGTTGAAATGCTAAAATAAATTGGTAAAAACAGGGTAGGCTGATATTCTTTCTGAATCTGATAAGCCTATAAATAAATTCAATTTCAAGTCTTTAAAAATTATCTGTGGAGATATTTCTAGAAATATCTGGGCAACCAATAGGATTTCTTAGATTTGACTTGAAATTTCTATTATTATTTAAAAAAGTCTTTCTAAAGTTGAACTACATTTAAAATTATTAACATGAATTTGGTTTAATAGTTGCTTAACATTGGGTTTTTAAAAGTTTTTAAGTTGTTGTAATCTAATGGCAGTAAAACAATTGTGTTCATTTGTTTATTCGGGGATGTTTATTCACTAGATTGTAGCCTCTTGGAAGGCAGGGGCCACACCATAGATTAATTTTTGTATCCTTAACATCAAGCACAGTGTTAGGTATATAACAGGACACCAAATAATAATTAATGATAGAACAGCAACAAAGAAAGCTAACAACTCTAAGAGGCAGATATTATCCTTCTCACTTCACAGTTAAGAAGACTGATGCTTAGAATGTTTGAGAATATATGCAAGATCCATATTTAGAAAGAGGCACAGCTCAGGGAGTCTGATTCTAGAGTTTATACATATTCTTTCTCTTTTTTTTCTCCCCCTTTTCAAGGTATAATTTACATATGGCAAAATTCATTCTTGTTAGCATACAGTTCTGTGAGTTTTAACACACAGTCTTGTAACCACTGCCATAATCAAGGTATAAACAGTTCCATCACCTCAAAAAATTCCCCCAATTCCCTTTGTACTCATTTCTCTTCTCTACTTCCAGCTCCTCCAATTGCTGGTATATTTTCTCTCTATCATTTTGTCTTTTCCAGAATGCTTTATAAATGGAAATATGCAGATGGTAGCCTTTTGAGTCTGACTTCTCTTATAATGCACTTAGAGTAATGCATTTAAGATCCATCCATGTTGCTGTGTGTTTCAATAGTTCACTGTTTTTTGTTTGTTTTTTTTTTTAAATTGCTGAGTAGTATTCCATTGCATGAATGCACCATAGTTTGTTGATCCATTCATCAGTTGAGGAATATTTGGGTTGTTTCCAGTTTTTAGCAATGTAAATAAAGCTGCTATAAACATTTGCAAAACAGGCTTTGGTGCAAATGTAAGTTTTCACTTCAACTAGGTAAATACCTAGGAGTGGGATTGTTGGTTCATATGGGAGGTATAGGTTCAATTTTATAAAAAAAATTCTACTGTTTTCTGAAGTACCATTTTGCATTCCCCAAAGTAATGCATGAGATTTCTAGTCACTGATATCCTCACCAGCACTTTGCAGTAATGTTATTATAAAAAAAACCTTTTTTTTAGCCATTCTCATAGGTATGTAGTGATAGCTCATGTTGGGAGATAACTCTCCATTGGTCTTTTGCATTTTTGCATGTCCTATGAGCAAAGCCACAAACAGCCTTTTATTTTGGACTATCTTTTCAAGGATGTTTGTATGACAAAGAACCTTGGAAGATAGAGATAGTGTCTCTCTTCAGAGTAGAGAGAAGATTTGTTTGCTTCTCAGTCTAATAAAGATAATGTCTCTCTTCAGGGTGAAGCTTAGGCAGATTTGCTTGCAAATGATAGAGATTTTGCAAGGTTGGTGTTCCTTGGCTGTGACATAAACCCACTGCATGCACAGCATCTATCTGCGCCTGTCTCTGCATCGCCCCTATAGTACTTGGACAGTGGGGGACTGACGTGAATGTGGTGTTCATGTTGTATGTTGCGCTGGAATAAACTGTCCTTTGTCTCTGACGAGAAGTCTTGCATCTTCTGCCAACAACCATAAAACAGTAGCAGGCTAACTTGTTGCTGTGCAAGTAAGATAAAATCTCAGGCCTTTCCTAGGTTTTAACATATCATTTTGATTTTAATTTGCATTTCCCTAATAACTAATGGCATTGAGCATCTTTTCATGTAGTTACCTATCATCTGTGTAGCTTCTTTAGTAAAGTCTTCAAATCTTTTGTCCACTTTTATTGAATTGCTTTTTTAATTTTGAGATTTGAAAGTTATGTTTATATTCTGAGTATGAGTTACTTTTCTGTGGTCTTTTCTATTGGTCTATGATTTACAAATATTTTCTTCCAGTTTTGTGGCTTGACTTTTTATTCTTTTAACAGTGTCCCTCAAAAAACAGGGTTTCTTAATTACATGAGACCTGACTCATCAATTTTTTAAAATGAATTGTGCTTTTGTTATCATATCTAAGAAATATTCATGTAGCCTGGAGTCACAAAGATTTTTTCTTGTTTTATTCTAGAAATTTTAGAGTTATGGGTTTTACATTTAGGGCTATCCATTTTGATCCATTTTGAGGTGATTTTTTATATGATATAAGGTATGGATGGAGGTGTTTCCCTTCCACCCTCAATATAGATGTTTAATCATTCTTACCTCATTTGTAGAAATGACTACCCTTTCTTCATTATGTGCTTTGGTATCTTTGTCAGAAATATATTATCTATATATGTGTGTCTATTGCTAGACTCTTTATTTTCCCATTAATCTACATTTGTATTCTTTCTCCAGTATCACACTGTCTTGATTCCTATAGCTGTATAATAGGTCTTGAAATCAGGTAGTGTGAGCCCTCCAACTTTATTATTAAAAAAATTGTTTGACTATTCTGGTTTATTTGCTTTTCCATATAATTTTTGGAATAAGCTTTTGATTAAAAAATTATGCTGGGAAGGAATGAGATCTTGCCATTTGCAATGACGTGGATGGAACTGGAGGGTATTATGCTGAGTGAAATAAGTCAATCAGAGAAAGACATGTATCATATGACCTCACTGATGTGAGGAATTCTTAATCTCAGGAAACAAACTGAGGGTTGCTGGAGTGGGGGGTAGGGTGGGAGGGATGGGCTGACTGCGTGATAAACACTGGGGAGGGTATATGCTATGGTGAGCGCTGTGAATTGTGCAAGACTGTTGAATCTCAGATCTGTACCTATGAAACAAATAATGTAATATATGTTAAGAAAAAAAAAAGAAGAAGATAGCAGGAGGGGAGGAATGAAGGGGGGGAAATTGGAGGGGTAGACGAACCATGAGAGATGATGGACTCTGAGAAACAAACTGAGGGTTCCAGAGGGGAGGGGGGGCAGGATCGGTTAGCCTGGTGATGGGTATTAAAGAGGGCACGTTCTGCATGGAGCACTGGGTGTTATGCACAAACAATGAATCATGGAACACTACATCTAAAACTAATGATGTAATGTATGGGGATTAACATAACAATAAAAAATTTAAAAAATTATGCTGGGAATTTGATTGGAATTATGTTGAATCCATAGATCAATTTGGAAACAAGACAGAGGATCATAAGGGAAGGGAGAGAAAAAGGAAACGACAAAACCAGAGAGGGAGACAAACCATAAGAGACTCTTAATCTCAGGAAACAAACTGAGGGTTGCTGGAGTGGAGGGGGGTGGGAGGGATGGGGTGGCTGGGTGATGGACATTGGGGAGGGTATGTACTATGGTGAGCACTGTGAATTGTGTAAGACTGATGAATCACAGACCTGTACCCCTGAAACAAATAATACGTTATATGTTAATAAAAATTAAAAAAAAGAATGACATGTTAATAACTTTTGTTTTTCAATTCATGAACATGGTATATTGCTTTATTTAGTGCTTGGATTTTGTCTATGTGTTTTATTTTGTAGTTTCCAGCATAAAGGTCTCATACATATTTTGTTAGATTTATACCTAAGTATTTCCTTTTTTTGGATTCTATTGTAAATAGTACTTTTATAACTTTCAATTTGAAACTGCTGCTTGCTAGTATATAAAAATACCATTGACTTTTATCTGCAACCAGAAATTATTAATATGTTAATATGTTGTCATTCTATTAAAAACATCTAGTTTCCCTTTGACTCCCTCTTTGATGCATGGTTTATTTAAAAGTATGTTAGTTACATTCCAAATATTAGGAATATTTTAGATGACTTTGTGTAACCAATTTCTAG